ATATATATATATATATATTATATATATATATATATATATAAATTATATATATATTAATATATATATATATTATATATAATATATATATATATATCATATATATATAATTATATATAAATATATATATGTATATATATATATATATATATATATATATATATATATATATATATATATATATATATATATATATATATATATATATATATATTATATATATATATATATATATATATATATATATATATATATAAATTTATGAAAGCTACTGTATATATATATATATATATATATATATATATATATATATATATATATATATATATATGTATATATATATATATATATATATATATATATATATATATATATATATATATATATATATATATATATATATATATATATATATATATATACAGTAGCTTTCATAAATTTAGACGCATTCATTTTTTTTTTCATATATGTAAGAAAATACTCAAAATAAAAATAAAATAAAAGTACTACCGCTATGTTTGATATATAATTTACAAGAGGAAGTGAAACTCTATTAAAGAGTACCTTAATTTTTTTTTACAGGATGTTTATTACTCATTCTATACCGATTAACACAAAAAAGTTAGTTGATAAGCTTGATTTTATTTTGTTCATAAATTTAGACGCACAATCAAAAAAGTCTTATATCTTGTTAATCGATAGTTAATTAGTAGTTTTTTCCCCATATTTCTCATTAATAGGCGTAAAGTAATTGATTTTGTCAAAAAATATGACTTACCTGGAATTAGTTAATCATTATTTAATAAATAAACAAAAGTTAAATTAGTTTTGCACTAAAAAGACGCGAAAAATGGGCAAATGACGTATCACTCAAGGTGAAAGATGGCAAATTAATGCGCACATCAAAGAAGGAACCAAAAGTAATAAAAAAATCGCCAAGTTAATTGGAGTTTCTGAGAAATGCGTTCGGACAACGAAACAAAACTTTCTTCACACTGGTGGTGCCAGCGAGAAAACGAGGCCAGGTAGACCCTTGTCAACCACCAGAAAGGACGATAGTGTTCATTTTAGAGCTGTCAGAGCTAATCCAAGAATTAGTTACAAAGAATCAACCACAGAATTCAATACAACGCAAAATACATCTATTTCTCAAAGCACAGTCCGCCGAATACTTATCGAATACAAGATTGGAGTCTACACTGCTTTGAAGAAACCGCTTCTTCGTCCATATGATAAACAAAGGAGACTAAAATGGTGTGGTAAAAGAAGGTATTGAACAATAGAACAATAGGAAAACATTATGTGGAGTGATGAGAGTAACTTTGAGCTTATCAATCGCAAATCTAACATAACAGTCAAAAGAATGGCTCATGAAAAGTATTATGCCAGGTACATTAGACCAACTGTACAAAGTGGAGGAGGCTCAATAGGAATCTGGTCATGCTTCAATTACAAAGGTGTTGGTATGTGCCAAACATACACCGGAAGAATCAACTCCAGAATATACGTAGAAGTACTGGAAAACAACTTAATTCCATCAATTGACCTGCTTATGCTCAATGATAAACCATGGAAACTTCAACAAGATGGCGCTACTGCACATACTGCATACTATGCAAAGGAGTGGTTCAACGATAATAGTATCATGACAATACCGTGGCCTCCATACTCACCTGATTTAAACCCGATTGAAAAGATTTGGGCTTGGATTGACCATGAATTAGCAGAGGTTCAAATTTCCACACTTACTCAGCTGAAGGAATTCCTTAAGGAGACCTGGTATGGGGTACCAGAAACGATGTGCAAAAATTTTGTTGAGTCTATGCCTAGAAGAGTTCTTAGTTGTATTAAAGCAAAAGGCGGATACACAAAATATTGATTGGTTCATAAATTACGCCTTCTAATGTATCGTGCGTCTAAATTTATGAATAATTTTTTTTGTCTAATTTTTTTAATACCATGTAGTTGTACCTAATTATTACTTAGTATTTCATTTTTTTTGTAAACTTTTTTTAAATTTTGTATTCTGTATGTATTTATCTAATAAATAGAAAAAAAACTAAACCAAAATCTTTTTTCGTCATTGTTTTATCGTCGAAAAACTAAAAATTTCTATTCTCAAATATGAGTGCGTCTAAATTTATGAAAACCACTGTATATATATATATATATATATATATATATATATATATATATATATATATATATATATATATATATATATATATATATATATATATATTATATATATTCATAAATATATATATATATATTTCTTATAATATATTTATACTCACTACTAATAATAGTAATTATAATATTATAAGACACTAAATAACTTAATTTTTTTTAAGTTTCCTTTGTTTATTTTAGTTAACAAATATCTTTTATAAAATAAGAAACATTTAATATTACTGAAATAATACGGTCATTTAAAAATGTATTTAACTAGACATATTACAAAAGTTATTATTTAGAAAAAAAAATCACTTTTCAGGTAGTTTACACAAATTCTACGTTATTTTATTAAAGCAAAAGACTTTATCAACAAGTGAAAGTCAATGTTTTCAGCAAGCTCTCATTCAATAGAAATTAATGCTAATCCAGAAAGATGTTCATTTTTCGTTGTTGATCCAAGATAATTTTTTATAATCTTTAGTTTACTGAAACTTCTTTCATCATTCGCAGATGTAACAGGAAGAGTCAAGTAGATTTTATAAAGTATAGATAAGTTAGGGAGACAGAGTTCCATGTGTTTCTCAATCAAGAACTAAAGTAAATCTTTTAATTGTATTTCAGTTGTCAGTGATGGGAATATCGATGCATACACATCATTGAAAGTCTCATACTCTACGACTGCCTCTTCAGTATTTACGTCGTTACAATATTTTGACAATTTAATGAAATTATAAATTTTTTAATAAATTTATATTTTCTTTAAATAATTTTGACAGATCAAGGCAATTAGAATGTGTAACTGCGTTACTAAAGTGATGAAATTATTTATTTATTTGGGTTATACTTGAATCCAAAACATTGAAGTAGGTTTCACATTTTAGGCGTGTAGTTGGACCATTAAATCTTTCATCTCTCCACAGCTCTCCTGTCATGTGTTTCTTTTTGGCAAGATGTTAGGCTAAAGAAAGACAAGTTTTCTTTAAATTCAGTCTCTACATCTAGGTCAGCACATTTTTCACTAATAAATGACTGCTAAATATAGTACTTTAAAAACTTCATCGTTTCTCATATCTACACTTTTTTTTTTTGTAACATCAATCAACTGTTTTGAAAATAAAACTTCTATATCCTCTCATTGCAAGTAGTTAGATAGTACAAAAAGATTAATAAACAACCTTAGCAAAAATAACATTAGAAAAACAAATGAATGTTTTTTTATTAAAACTGATAGTCCAATAGCTTTTGCTCTTACATTTCCTGTATGTTCTTTAGATTCTCCTAGATTTATATATTCTAGAGTGTTCTTTAGATTTATATATTCTAGAGTGTTCTTTAGATTTATATATTCTAGAGTGTTCTTTAGATTTATATATTCTAGAGTGTTCTTTAGATTTATATATTCTAGAGTGTTCTTTAGATTTATATATTCTAGAGTGTTCTTTAGATTTATATATTCTAGAGTGTTCTTTAGATTTATATATTCTAGAGTGTTCTTTAGATTTATATATTCTAGAGTGTTCTTTAGATTTATATATTCTAGAGTGTTCTTTAGATTTATATATTCTAGAGTGTTCTTTAGATTTATATATTCTAGAGTGTTCTTTAGATTTATATATTCTAGAGTGTTCTTTAGATTTATATATTCTAGAGTGTTCTTTAGATTTATATATTCTAGAGTGTTCTTTAGATTTATATATTCTAGAGTGGTCTAGAGCTATATTAGCAGAAAAAGATTTAACATCACCATCAACTGTATGCTTCTTACTTCACCATCAACTTACATCACCATCAACTGTATGCTTCTTACTTGCTCATCTTGCATCAAAAAGTCATTATAGAGTGTCTACTGTTAATTCATTTAGACGTATCTGGTACTCTTAGAGAATACGTATACAATTTTTCAGCTGTGCCTAAAAACAACTGGACATCAATGTTTATTATAAATGTTACTCTTTTCAGAGTTTAATTTCAATGTTTCGAAATGAAATATTTTAAAACCTCTGTTTTAAAATAATTCTTCTCTTTCCATTTGTACTTATTTTTATTCTTTTCATTTTGTTTTTTATTGGTAATTTAAATTTTTAGTTATTTTTTTTTAATGTTTTTGGGGGGCGCTGTTTTATCGTTCTTGGGGGCGTGCCCCACCACCACCACCACCACCACGCCCTATACTAAATCTGCCACTGGTTGTGAGTGTCATAAGCTTTTATATTATTTTTAAAATCAAATAATCATCCTACTCGTAACTAGTTTATGACAAACAAGCTAGAAGTTTAACTAATAGCATTAGCTAAAGAGTAACATTAGTTTAAAGAGTTATTATAATAATAATAATTATTATTTTTATTATTGTTTATATTTATACTAATTTTTTATATAATTTTATTTATGCGCAAAGCTTTATATATTTGTTTAACTTTATATGTTATTTATGCTCAGAGCTTTATTTATTTGAATTTATTTATAAGTTATATTTATGCTCAGAGCTTTATTTATTTATTTGAATTTATTTATGTTATATTTATGTTCAGAGCTTTATTTATACTTGGAGTTTAAATAATTTTTTTGTTATAAAATTTCAAAGACTTGAAGTTTTTGATTTGTTTTTATTTTATAATTATTGAATAATTATATATATAAAAAAGATTTATTAAAAATTATTAATGAATTATTTCATTTGTTTTAGTTTTTTCATTATAATTTTAGTTTGTCTACTGTTGAAATATGGTTTCAATTTAGTAAACTTTCATGAATTTAAGTTTGCTTTATTAATCATTTGCCAACAGTTAGGGAAAAATTGACTTCTACTCAATTAAGGTAGGATTAGTTGACTTCTACTCAATTAAGGTAGGATTAGTTGACTTCTACTCAATTAAGGTAGGATTAGTTGACTTCTACTCAATTAAGGTAGGATTTAATTTCATTGCAAAATATGATTTAACTCTTAGATAATAACTTATTGCTGTTTTGCACCGCTGTTTGTTTATTGCTGTTTTGCACCGCTGTTTGTTTATTGCTGTTTTGCACCGCTGTTTGTTTATTGCTGTTTTGCACCGCTGTTTGTTTACAGTAATAACTTTAGTTATACCATAATGTTATTGCGATAATTTGTTGTGTGCCTCTGTTAACTACATTTAAAGTGCTTATAGAAATAGTGTATAACTCTACTATAATATGACTGTTTTACTATTTCTTAAAACCCACAAAATAAACCTAAATCTAAACAAACATATCAATATTGTATATGCAATTGTGTGTCATTAATAGAACGATTTATTTAATAGAATAACAAACTAAAGTTTCTAACTGTTACTATTGTTTAAAAATTAATACTAATTTTTTGTTATCATTTTTGTAATTGATGTTGATTATTTTATTTTCATCATTGTTATTTGTATCATTAATATTAATAGCTGGTATTTACTAAAATTATTCGTAAATGGCCGTTATAAGATTTTTTTTGTCAAAATATATAGTTTGGTTGACAAAAGTCAACCAGTTTGGAAGGTGCAATTTTGAAAAAAGTTACATTATTTTCTTAAAATAAAATGGATGAAGTGAATGATGAAAGAGAAGAACAAGATTTTCTCAATCTTAATAATTACTTAACTAAAGGGGTTTATCGCAACATTTGTACTCCCAATGAAATGAGAATTATCAGAAGAAAATCAAACAAGTATAATCATTTTTTAAGGTGTAAGTAATTTGTAAATGTTTCAATTCTAATTAAAAAATTAACCATAACAAATTAACCATAACAAAAACCAAAAATTAACCATAATAAAAATTAACCATAACAAAAATAAATCATATTTTTAAGAAAGGACTTTTATTTTATCTTTGTAATTTTCTTTTTATTTAAATACATTAGAAAATACTTTTTTATCACTTTTATTAAGAATCTCGATTTAGAAAATATCCATAGAGAAAATAATGTAAAAAGTAATATTTTAATAAATTAAATAAACATGTAAAAAATAAATATGTTTCTAATATTATATCTTTGCTTTACAAATTATATAAATAAAGTTTCCTTCGTAAGACTCAAATGTTTTTGTGTTTTCGACTAATTTTTTATGTGTTTTCCAGGTTTAAGATGAAAGGTAATCAATTGAAATATATGAAAAAGTAGGGTTTATAGGTTGAGATTATTTTTAGCAAAGAGATGAGAAATAAATTATTTGTTCTTTTCATAGTGAACATCAAAGGTTTCAGAACATTTTTACTGGTGTAAAAATTTTTGATAAAAATTTTTACACCAGTAAATATTATCTTGAATTTCCTGTAATTCTGCTACAATCCCTCAAGTAATTGTTAAAGAGCCCATCCTGAAAATTTCAAGTTTTCAATTTCAATTTTATGTTTTGTATAAGGTCGAAAAAAAGAATTTTATAAAACACATTTAAAAAACATAAATAGTAATATATGTTGTAAAAGATAATTAGGTACTTAATAAATTAAAATGAAGGTTGCAAAAACAATTAGGTAATAAATATAGAATATAGTTAACTAAAAAGTCACGAAATCGCCGTTGCTAGGGGCGTTACTATAGAAGCTGAAAAAGTTTTACTTATAATTTTGAGTTTAAATATATATTTTCTGAATCTAAAATAAATTTCAAACAAGATAACATAAAAAACATCATTTTTATTTTTTAGTGTTTTTAACTTAAACCTTGAACGAAATGTAAAGTTCTAAACTTGTCAATGTTAACTTATTTTTTAATTTTTAAAACCGCTAAAAAATGACCTTGTAAACTAAAAAGTTTCAGGTTTATTTGTTTGAGTTCCATGAAGCATAATATTACTATGTTATATTAATGTGTATTAATGTTCGCGAGTTCTCTAACTATCGTTTAAACAAACGATGAAACACATTGCTAGAATAGTCCGAAGTAAATAGCAGGACAATTTGCTTCGGAGTAAATTGTCCTAGACGGACGGGTAGGACAAACTAAGATCTTTTACTCCGGAGTAAAATATACGACGGAGTAAAAGGTATTCACCTTACTCCGCGGGCAATTTACGTGACAAGAACATTATTGGCAGACATTAATAGTGGCTTGTTAGCCATTTTGAAACTCCGCAATGTTTGCTGGGATGAATTGTAGATATACAATATTTCGTTTAAAATACTCACAAGCAATTTATTTTCATAAAATTAACTACGTAAAACCAACAAGTTCACAACTTCCGTGCGAGATCATTCATAAACTGCATTTTAACAATTGCTGTGACTCGATAAGTGTAAATTTTTCGGTAAAATTAAATTCAAAATTTACAGGTAAATTTTAAATAGAAGAGGGTAAATTTTCCTAACAAAAATTTTTTTTTTTCAAAAAAAAAATAAAAATAACGGGTTGTTCATAAAGTACGTATGCTCATAGGAGGGAGAGGGGAGGTCTTCATAAAGCGTATGGGGGGGGGGGGAGTATTTCAATATTCATCGATTTGTCTAATTTATCACAGTTAACCAGGTAATCAATATAAAAGTTAAAATTCTGACTAAAAATCCTAGTTTGCCAACATAAAAAGATGATTATATGTGTATTACAATATTTTAATGTGTATTACTCTAGTAATGTCACTTAACAAATTTGCTTTTTAATTTTTTACTTATTTTATGTCTCAAAGGTCCTCGATGACAAGACTTCTTTAAGTGTTCTGTGAGTTTCCTTACAACATCACAAATTATTTCACCAAATTATTCTATCAAATTTATTATCATAAAATATATATAAAACATATACTTTGTATTTAACACAGTGTGTTTGACAATATATTTTTAACGATTTATATATGTATACATTTATTTTTGTTTTCTCTATGACTATATATTATGTCAAGAGAAGGAATTGTAACAATAGTTTATAAAGTTGTAAAAAATCATGACGAAAAAAAATAATAAGAATAAGAAATGTTTGGTTAGGAATAAGAAAGTATAGTTTCCCTCAATGCACACATGTATAGGGGCCCGCAGGATTTTTTATGTTCCAGTTAAGACACTTTCACACATTGTGCAAACTTCATATTTATGTATGTTTATATTTATGTCAAATGAGAAGACCTTGCAAAAAATAAAAAAAGAGGAGCCCTGGGAGCAAAAAAGCCTTAAAACGCCTCTTCCCCCCCCCCCCCCCCCATATAAAAATAGAGGGTTTTTTTTTTTTCTTTAAATTTTCACAACTACATATTAATTACAAAATTTTTTTACACTGCGATAACATAAAAAAATAAACTTCCAATACAAAAAAATTATCATTTTACAAAATGCCGTTAAGATAAACATAGGAAGCAACTTTTTTTTTTTTTTAATTTTACATTTGTTGGTCGTATTACAACTATATATTGCCAAAAAAAATAATGATAATAATAATAAACTTTCACAAATATAAAATAAGGTATCTGAAAGTAGATCAAAGGATCTTGTCGTCAGAACCTTAAATAAGTTCAAACAAGCATTAACAGTATCAAATTTTTACAAATTTCATATATATATAATCCAAATACATATTATATAATCCAAAGAGAGATCACTCGGATCTACTCACCAATATTTTATATAAACGTATACGTTAAGTAAAGAATATAAAATCAACAAAGTAAGAATAAACTTTTTAGAAATATAAATAAGAAAGGGCAAAGTTATTAATTCATATTATTAATAATAACATAATATGTCATCTAATGAAACAATTAGGGTTTTTAATTTACTTTTAAAAAAACGAAAAGTAATGGGTAGTTCGAAGTCAAAATTGGGCAAAACAATTTTATTCCAAAGGTGTGGTGCCCGATAGGCAATACAAAATTGATTAAAGTTCGTTTGACAGAAAGGTTCATTTAAAAAATCAGTATTTCTCAAATTGTATTTGTTGATGGGTTTCGGAGTAAAAATATCTTTGAAGACAGATTGAGACAAGTCATTTTTCCAAATGTATACAAAACATAAAACGTTATATATATTTAGCTCGTATATATTTAAAATTCTCATTTCAATAAAATAATGTTTTGCGTGAGAAAAGCGATTTGCAAAGCAGATTAAACGGATAGCATGTTTCTGACGGCGATAAAGACGTTGCAACTTACTTTTTTCTGTACTACCCCAGGCGATATTAGCATAATTTAAATAACTGTGTATGAATGAATAATAAAGTTTGATTAAAATTTTCTTATTGAGGTATATTTATGCTTTATATAAAACTCCTATGTTTTTTGAAATTTTAGTGCTTATGTAGTCTATATGATGATTCCAAATCTCCACATGTTATTGAAAGACAATTGGTATGATAACCGTCATTACTCGGAACAAATTGTTTACGATTTGACAAATAGCTTTCAAACCATTTTAAAACTTTATTTTTTATTCCATAGTGTTTAAGTTTATAGGTTAGAATTTGGTGATCAACGTATCAAAAGCTTTTGATAGATCAATAAAAAGTCCTAGAGTATATTGTGATTTTTCAAATGATTTTGAGACGGACAAATTAAATCTGTCGTTTATTATTTTATAGTTAGCGCCAATAATATCGAGAACTGCTTTTTCTTGCTTTTGAAACATTTCTTCCGTTTCCTTTTTAAATTCTTTGAACGTTTCTTTTAAAAGTTTCTTTATTTCTGGAAGTGTTACAGCCATATTATTAAGTTAAAATTTTTTATTAAAGATACGTCTTTATTTATAATAAAAAGTTTTTTTTTTTCGCCTCGAGGTAAAAAGTGCGTTCGTTCTTGTTAAAAGCTTGAGTTGAAAAAGATTGTTAAATATGCTATGACTTGATAAGGGTTTTGACTGTTGTAGGGAACTCGTAAAAGACTGAGTTTAGTCTTAT